ATATATATATATATATATATATATATATATATATATATATATATATATATATATATATATATATATATATAATTGTTCAATTTTGAAAAACCATGACGCTTAAGGCGCTAATCATCGTTTATTTTATGTAATAGACGAGCTCAAACAGCTGTTTTGGATGTACAAGCATATTTAAATAATTAGGATGACGTGAGGAATGTGCTATTTCTTATTTTTTTTTAGCTGTGTTTATTACGATGTATCATTCCTTAACAAACATTCCTCACAGAAATTTGTGCAGAGTTATGGCCCAGAACGAATTCCGTAAAGGACAAGACCAACTGCTGAATTGAGTCGGTAGAGTTTTTTTGCTTCAATTTCATTCGAAGAAAAAAATGAGTTAGCGTTAGTAAACCTTTTCTGGTTTTTACTGAAACTTCAAATATTTTTAAAAGATACCGCATTTTTAGTTCACAGTTAGCTAGATGGGTGTTTAGAGCACATTGAACAGACAATAAAAAATAGTACAAAATGGCAATGGAAAATATTTCAGGTGTTTCTTTCGAAGTTCCCTATAAATCAATTTCTAATTCATTCGATTGAACATGAAGGTCAACAAATTTCTGTTGGAAGAGCAGTTTTCTTGTTGTACCATATCTTTGTTTTTCCTTTTGTTTTTTTATTCCATCAAGATATTTGTCATCAATAACCCTGTTCGTTATTTGTAGTAAAACTCTGCAGTCTAAAGCATTTATATAATAGGTATTCTTTTGGAGAATTCGAACTCTTTAATTTCATGAAGTTTAGTTTCTTGATTCGAATAAAAAAAAAATCCAATAATTAACCTAGTCTTAGATTCTTTCACTGATTGCAATTTTGAGTTCTTCTGCAGCATCCCATCCTGAATTCCTTTCACTGCTGGGAATTTAAACAAGCAAAAAGAAAGGACACTTTTTTCTTCCTTTTTAAAAAAATAATGGTCCTTTCGTCCTTACAGTTTGAATTTTTTTTTTGGAATCGGTTCATTTTCTTGCTAAAAAACATTTCAGTTGTTTTGATCTTTATTTTTCGATACAGGTTCACTGTGCATTTGCACCAAACAAAACATCAACAGTTTGTCGGACCACTAACAAAACGTTGAATTCTTTTTTAATAATGAACAATAAACTTTCTCAGCACCGGAAGTTTGCATAAATAAATGGAAGGGTAGAATGCATGGTTGTGCTCTTGTTATTGCATTTTAATAACAGATTAAAATGAGAACATAAAATAGTCCGGGAAGATTTATAACATTCAATTCTTTTGGAGGGAACTGATAAATACTTTTGTTGCTATCTTTCAGAACTTAGAATATTCAACAGAGTCAAAGATACTGATTGACCGAATGCAGTTGATCGTTTTTATTTCATTTAAATGCTGCTCAATTCCTTAGTTTAATATCATGTAAAAAATGAATAATATGTGCCAAATATGCTACTAAAGACATACTTTCAATTGACATATTTTCTTATGTTTGGATTTTTACCATTTTTGAATTGGTTTATAAATTCTGCAAAATTCATAAATCAGAAAAGAAAATCCCTCGACAGTGCAAAAATTTTGTAGTGGCAATAGTA